TGGGGGCTGTGGCGGCGGTGGGGGTGGTGGTGATGGGGGTTGTGGCGACGGTGGTGGGGGCTGTGGCGGCGGAGGCGGCTGTGGCGATTGATGATAAGGGTAGCAGCATTTATGTTTGGAATGGATATCTGGTGTATAAGTAAAGAAAATTAGTAAAGAATTTGTGTTTTATCATTGGTTGTGTTGAAATAAATTCTTGCAATTATAAGTTTTTCTCCAAATATCTTGAAAAAAAAAGTTTGCTATAAATTATGAAATATTTACCTGATATGAAAATGATAAAGAAAATTCATTTAAGTTAATTTTTAGAGTTTTGAAAAAAGTATTATAAAGCTTTTTGGCTTATAATTTGACCAAAAAATTCAAACATTTATTTAAAAAATAGATAACCATGACTCAAATGGTAAGAAAACAATTACAAATTTCTCATTTCCATGAAGTTGCATCCATAATTTCAACAGTTGCCATATGCTTATGAAAAGAATATTGTACTCAATTATCCTCCAACTAATAAACGACCAAGAAAGTATAACAAACATTTAATAGGTCAATTAATCGTTTCTGTCCCTCAAATATTCCAAAGTCAACCGATCTAACCATATTATTTTAACAAAAAAAAAAGTTTAGAAAATTGAGGATTTTGTTCGATCGATTGCAGCAGCGGAGAGGCGATCGGAGATCATTGCAGGCAATGACCCAATGCCCACAGTGATTTTGATTTTTATTGATGTTTATGTTTTTCTTATTTGGTGTTTTAACGGTAATTCATGCGGTTGGTGGAGAGTACATCAAGCATTAGATGAACAGCCGAGGTCCTGTTTATGGTGACGACGGAACGATTTTCAGTGGGCGAGGAGGGTTATGACAGTGGTGGTGGTGGAGGAGATGTGATACCGGAGGTGGAGGTGGAGATTCAACTGGCTATTGACCATGGCAAGAAAGTAAAGGATTTGTAAAGATTTCAGAAACCATAACAAAATCCAAGCATTGTAAATAACCATATCAGTTTAGAAAAACACAACTACAACTAAAATCGATGGAGGAGGGAGGAAAGATTAAGTCCATAAATATAGCTTTTCCCCTAATTCTCCTATATACTGACTCTTTCATTGCCGTGACATTCAGAAATTATCATTTGATTATACGCAATCTTACAATCGCCATATAATCTCAAGTAGATCATTACCAAGCAACAGAATTTCTGATGCTCAATGAAACAGTTTCATGTGCCAAAGCTGCGATCGCCAGCATCTCCAAGTCCAGGAATTATAAACCTGCAAACAACCAATCAGCCAACCTCAATATTGTGGGCAAGATTTGTTCACTTTCAAACTACTAAACATCAAGACTTAAATCATTTGGTAATAAAACAAACCCTTTTTCGTTAACTGTCGGGTCAATAATTCCGGTGTATACGTGTAGCCTGAAGATCACAAACGTCCAAGGATTAGTGGAAGACTTTTGACTTTGTTTTAAGATTGAATCAAATAGAACAGGTGATTACCCTGGAAACTTCTCGCCGAGCTTTTTTAGAGCGGGAGGTGCAGCAACAGCAGATATCTGCGATATGACAATCCAATTTTAGTATATAACGGACTTCAGAACTTCAGATATTCACAGTGAACGGATTGAAAGTTGAATATGATTTAAGGAGACTTATTTAGATGGCTATCATCAAGGACACACAATATCCAAAATTATTGACTACTGCTGCAGTGCAAAACCATGACGCATTGGTCTTTTGATAGTTAATACCCAAAAAACTTGACACAAAAGCAAGAGATCCGCTAATTTCAATACCACTTTTATTTGCTTGTTGTCAATTCCACGTTCCTTTATGAGATCAAGAGCTGCCACAACTGTGCCACCTGAAATTATGATACCCAGAAAAACATATTAAAGTAAATAAAATAACTGCCCAATTCACCGTTATATTAAATGATGATTCCCGTAAACATTAACTTGACACACAAGTGCAAGTTACATGGATGCTATAACATTCTCAAACAACATAGTTTCTAAATGAGGTCATGACAGGAATGACAAGAGAGTAAAGAAAGGGGAACGAGTAATACTAGAACAACAGGCAAAGGATAAAAAGTTCAATTATACAGAGATCAGAATAACTTTCTATCAATCGAATCACTACCAAGCAATGAACTTAAACTGGCCCAAGCAAATAACCATCAATTGGCCCAACTTTCAGAGCTATGAATTTAAACTGCGGTGGCAAAACATATACGGTCTTATGAGCTTTACAGTACCAATTGTTGTTGGCTCAAGTAGTTGTCTCGTGGAATAGGTCAAGTACACATCAACTAAACTAAGCAACCATGATCATCCAAAGAAGGAAAAAGGAAAAAGGAGTTCCATTAATTAGTATAATAATAATTACCTGTTGCAAGCATGGGATCAACCACAAAAATTCGAGAACCTTCAGGAAAATTTTCAGGTAACCTGTGAAAGCAACATAAAATGAAATTGTGAAGAGTTAATATACTCTTGTGCATAGCTCAAGAAGCCAAGGCATCATATCCTCAAACAAAACATCAAAGGTTTGAATCCTCATCCCAATATGTTGAACTCAGAAAAAAATACGGAGAGAAAAAGAATGGTATGGTATGGTATTCCAAACCTCATTATTCATTTAGAGCTTTATTGGTAAAACAAGGGAAAGTTGACACTGCTTTACCTCAGGGTCGTAGAACAGAGATGACCATAAGAAGTAAAAAATTTAATAATGCGTAGAGAAAAAGCATGAAAAATGCAACAAACAAGTGTCATTAACAAAGTAATATTTATAATGACTTGGAAAGCTCACTTGTTAAGATATATAGTTGGTTGAAGAGTCTCCTCGTCCCTGCTTATCCCTTTAATTTGAAAGAAAATATGAAATTAAAAGGGATGAAAATTGAGATCATATCGACGTAACTAAATAAATTGATTAAAAAATATATGGTAAATAAACAAAATTACAACACGCCAGCCTTCACATGAATATCTTTTCTGATCAGAACATCATAGCATTATCCTACTGCCCTTACCAAGATGGTACATTTTTGTTGCAGGCAATACAGATGATGCGTATTCTGCAAGAGCTAGACCGGCTCTGAGGATGGGAATTATCTGAAAAGGCAAGAGTAAAATGAACAATTTTAGGCTTTAACGCAAAAAATTCCACCGAAATAAAACAGCATAACTGTATTGCTGTCCTTTTCTTTCCTTTTTGTGGTGGGGGTGGCGGCAACAAACTGGAAGTATAAGCATTAATCATTAGGCCAGAACAAGAGTAGTGGGGGAAAAAAAGAAGTCTAACCGCCACAGGCTCTCTTGGATCGACAAACTCAACTGAAGCAACACCCATGGGTGACTGTATCTCCCCCGTTACAGTAGGCTGATACGGATAGAAACACAAATTTGTAAGTAAATACAAATATAAACTAAAACTGACATTTATTTGAATAAGACTTGAAGATTTGTTCTTCTCTCATCAGAATAGTTTTTTATTACATGAATACAAAAGTAATAATAATAGTTATTTTTATTTATCTAAGCATTTAATGGTTTCACTCTACTAAGGAAGGCTCTAATGCAATATTCAAGTAGTATAAGAACTAACCAGCCAATCCCTTGAAGCTTCATAAATAAGCAGTCTTCCTAGCTCTGCCATTGCATTTTCTGCAATAAATAAAGCATAAATATCCTCCACAAGTTATTGATGGCATAGGCAAAAGGCGAAAGCTTACTAGAGAAAACTGCCTTCCACTACTCAAATACACAACTCGACTATCTCAGTCATCCTACAGTTTTTCAATTGAAAACTTCACCTGGAGTTTTTCTCATGGCTCATAAATGAAAATGGTTATTGACAAATTTAACAAAGACAGGAAAGATGAGGTGATAAGAAAATCACTACAAGGGAAAGTAAAATTTGGATTACTTTGTTGATCAAATATCTAAAAGCAAAAACATTTGTTTGAGATTCAAATCACTCCACAAGTAAGATGATTGATCATGTCAAACTTGAATGATTCTAGACATGCAATGTAGAATTGCAAAAAAACTTAGCCCCAATGATAATAAATCTCTCCGGGGAACTAAAATTCAGATTACCTTATTGATCTAATATCTTAAGGCAATAACACTCGTTTGAGATTCAAATCACTCCACAAGTCAGATCGATCATGCCAAGTTTGAATAATTCTAAACATGCAACCTATACTACATAGAATTGCAAAGTACAAGTGTTCTTTTTACTACATCTACAGCACGATAAGAAGACATCTTTAAGAACTACATCAATACTCACTAAAAATGGGGCAAGGAGTTTGTTCATTCCTCAAAACTGAAACCCAGTGCTTGATCAACGGATGAGGAGGAACATAAACCTGTAAATCCATCGACTACACTTAATAAAAAATTAATTAAAAAACGAATTAAATCGTTCCAGTTAATCCAATCACCAGTCTAAAACTATAAGTTACACATTTTACAAAATTCTGATCAGTTCTTACGAATTTTCTTACAACCTATAGTAATAAGCCTCACATTAAGCGAAACAGAAAAATGCAAAATAAGATAAGAGTAAGGAAGTACTAACGAGCATTCTATCATCTGAAACAGGCTTGGGTTCCGTGGCCATGTGAGCGTTCATGGCAATAAAGCTTCGGCGCCGGATTCTGGAATAGGATAACTAATGGTAAAACAAAGATTGGAGATAAATAAGTACCAAGTTTGGGAGAATCCGGGAGGCGACAAAAGGGAAGAGGCGTTACCTTATTGGAATTGAGAAGAGATGGAAAAGGAGAAAGTAATTGAGGAGGATTAGGGTTTTGGAGGGACCAAGTGGGGGCAAGGCGCGGTGTTCCGGAAGAACACCGGTGAGGAAGATTTATGCGGCACAAAGCCATTCGTGGAAGTAATGATAATGAGTCCAGGATTCGATTTCCTGCGATCTTAGCGGAGATGCCAGTCTCAGATTCTGGTTCCACTTTTCAAATATAAAATATATTTTTTAAAAATAATAATCTCTGTTCTACCCCTAACTAACGGTCGTGGGCCTCACCCAGTCGTTTATATTGGGCCACGATTGAATCTAAGGCCCAATTAGAAACTTATCATTGCTAACGAAGATACACATTTGAATACTACAGAATAAACCTTTCATTCAAAATCATCAGATCTTAATTTTAAAATATATAGACTAATTTAGGGAATGATCCTGAGTTTATAATCAATTAATACTATCTCCATTGATACGAAGTCTTTTAGGAGCCCAAAGCAAAGTCACGAGAACTTATGCTTAAAATGAACAATATCATACCATTGTGAAGAGTCGTGTTAGTCTAACACTTTTTTATCTAAATCATATTTAAATAAATATATCTCAATATATATTTAATCCCTTTCAATCTAGTTCAAATTTTAAATGTATATTTTATATATTTTAATAGAAATATTTTTTTATTAACGTAGAAAAGCATGTGCTGACCGTTTTCCTCCAAAACTAGGGATAAATATATAAAATTAAAAGATACTATTAAAATTTTTAAAAGTTTAAAAATATTTTTGAAAGAAATTATAACATCTAACGATATTTTTATTAATTTAATCTTAAAAAAATTGATTTTTTGTACACGGACTTTACATTTTTATATAAATTAAATTTCACACGTTTAAAAATATTGAAGAGGTCAAAGTAAAGGCTTAAAATAATTAATATAATATATTATATTAACCTATTTCAATTAGATAAATGTAAATTCAATTTATAAGATGACTATAGGTTTTAAATTTCTTATATTGTTAATATGAATATGCATTTAAAATTCAAATTTTAGATATTATTACATTAAAATTTTCAAATATAATTGATATTTTTATTATCATGGCAACTTGCTAGTCAACCAAAAGAAGCAAGTCAACAAAATAATGAGAAGCTAAATTTAAAAAAACGCGTTCTCCTCCGCCTTTAATATCTCCTCTGCTCGTCCCCGAAACCCAAACCACGATGGCTTCGGTGCCGAACCAAACCAAGTTCCATTTCACACATCCAAACCACCCGTTGCTGTATCACTCCGACAGCCACCATGATTACATCTGCGACGGCTGCAAAACCCCCGGTTCCGGCAGCCGGTTCCGATGCCATTCCTGCAATTTCGATATCCACGAATACTGCGCCGATTGCCCCGACAAACTCTCCTCATTCATCCACCACAACCACCACCTCACTCTGGTTCTCCGTAAGCCCAGCGGCGCTCGCCTGAACGAGCGAATCTGCGACGTTTGTCGGGACCCAGTTGAGGGGCTGTTCTACCGGTGCAAAGACTGCGATTTCGACGCCCACCCACTCTGCACCCAACTCCCCAAAGAGCTCCGCCATGTGGTCGACAACAAACATTCTTTGAAGCTCCAGAAGATTCCGTACGGTAGCTGCTCTGTTTGCAAACAGGGCTGTTCTTCTCTTTGGGTGTACGGATGCGAGATCTGTAGAGTCAATATCCATCTTGACTGCTTGATTGGACCGGACGTATCGCCGCCGAGTCAGACAACGTCTCGTGGGATACGACCGCCGTGGACAGCCGGGCCGCCTCCGTTTCCTGGCGGCGTTCCGTGGAATAGTGGGGGATTTCCGTACGGTAATTTTGGAATGGGAGGGCATAATGGTGGTTATGGCTACGCCGCCCCTTACAGCGTTCCCGATTACCATTTTATGTACCCAAATTATGGATTTGTGCACAGTAATGTGAATCATCAGACGAGTGAAGCAGTGAATGCAGCTCAGCCACCGCCGCCGTCGGCTAGTGGGGGAAAGCCTGGAAAGTCAATGTTTGCTCTAGTGGGCAGACTGACAGTTGGCGTGATGTCTAGTGTTATTTTTGGGTTCCCTATTGGGTTCTAGTCGGATTTCGATTATTGTAACTGGAAATTGAAATGTCTTGCCTTTTCATTGCAATTCAAATTCGAGCTTATTCCAATAAAAATACGTCAATTATTATCACAAAAACTTATAAATTACTACTTTAAGTAATTCATTGTCCCTACTAAACTCAGAATCCAGACAAAAAATAATAATAAAGCAAAAACAAATAAAAATAAAATAAAATAAAATTGTTTATATCTAACTAATTTGTTAATTAATACTTTGGAATTAATCAGATTTTTATCTATTTCTCTATTCTACTCAGATTTCTTCTTATTTAAATTAATAAAATTTTACTACTTTTCTTATAATACTCTTAACTATTTTTTAAAAATTAAAAAAAAATTATTTCGAAAACACTCATATCTAGAGTATTTCAAAAATATCATTAAACCTTACAAAATATATATATATATATATATATATATATATATATATATATATATATATATATATATATATATTAAACCCTTCCATTTTTGTTTAAAACAAATTTTACTAAATTAAAAAATACTAATAAAATTTCAAACTTTTTAATATTATTTTTTTGAATTTACGAGTGTTTTGGTATTATTAACCGTAGAAGTATTTTTTTTAAAAAAAAAAAATTAAAATTTAAGTATATTTTTTAAACCACTTTTATCAACTCAAGTTTAAAAATATTTTTGAAATAAAATATTAACTATTATCCCTATTATCCCTTGGTAATTTTAAACTTTTTTAAAAAATTAAGAATATTATTTTTTCAATGGTACGTTTTAAAATCTTATCGAATAAGTAAACATTTATGCAACATGTATATATATATATATAATTATTTGGGCTTAAACTTTCACCTCTATAAGTTTGAATGTCACTCAAATGACTCGAAATGAACACGCAATATACAAATTCAACTTGAGAGTGATGTGCATGGATTCTATTTCATTCATGGTTTTGTAGGGAAATATACGTATAAGAAAACAACTGATAACAGTGACCGGTAACAATAAATCAAAGGAATTTTTTTTTTTTTTAATAAAAACCCTAAAAGTCTTGGTCTTTGCCAAAAGCAACGAGACCCATATAAACAAGAGTGCCCCCCAAGCAACAAAGGCGCTATTTTTGTCTCCTTTTGTGGGTACTGATCGAGAGAAATGGCTGATGCCCATCCAAACCATCCTCCGACAATGCATACCTCTTCCGACTACCCCCACGAACTCTCCTCCTTCCTCCACCGCCACCCACTCGCTCACATGATCCGCAACCCCCATGTTCCCTCTCGAACCCATCGGGTATGCGACGTGTGCTGCGAATCCATCCACGCCAATTTCTACCACTGCAAGAACTGCCACTTCCACGTCCACCCACTTTGCACCCACCTCCCCAGCAGCCTCCGCCACGTTATTGACCCCAACCATAAGCTGTTCCTCCACAAGCTCTCCTATGCCCGCTGCTCTGTTTGTAAAGCTGATTGTTCTTCTCTCTGGGTCTACGGCTGCAGCGCTTGTAAGGTCAACATCCATCTCAAATGCCTTCGAAAGCCCTTGGGTTCGCAGGAGAAAACCAACCGGCCATCTGGGTCACGTGGGATGCACCACCACCCACCGCCACCGTGGGCGACGTGGCCACCTCCTAACCACGGTGGTTTTCCCGGTTGGGGATACCCGAATTACCAAATTGGGTATCCTGGACCTGTTCAATTTGCACACAACAATAATCATCCGCCGAGCTTGGGACCGATGTTTGGGAGTACGATGTTTTCTCTGGTTGAGAATTTGGCGATTGGTGCTTTCTCTGATTTTATTTTCGGTTCCGTTGGTTTTTAATCCTTCAATTTCTGATGGTGTTCTGTTCATCGTCCCCAATTGAAAAATTCCAATACCTCCATTGTTCCCTCTCTTTTCCCTTTTCATTGTGTTCATATATATAATATAATCAAATGTTTGTAGTGTATATACAACAATTGCGTTTATTTTGCACTTCTCTTCTGATTAAAAAGATTGATTGGGTTTGGTAACAATCATATACCAGTCCCAATAAATTTGTGAGATAAAACGTGAGAAATTCATGAAAATAAAACTCAAAAAGAATAATATTTAATTGTTGTAGACTTGATCCATTATAAATGGTATATCGACCAAACTTGTTATTTTGTCGTGTTATATATTGGGCTGAATTTATGTCCTAGTTGATTGAAAAGAGCCACCGTTATTGACTTTCTATAAATAATAGTATAAATATTAATATAATGTCCAACACAACTCTCATAAATTAATTTAATACAACTCAAAAACAATAATAAAAATATTAATTTTATAACAAGTTCGAACGAGTTATCTACACTTCCGACCAACTTGTCGTATGATATTTTCTTAAATCCACTTTAAATCTATTTTAATAATATAATATAAAAAATTAATGTTTTTTTATATATAAAAAAAGTAAGAATTTGTCGCCTAATCAATTTTTATGTCTTTTTTTTTGCATCCTATTATTTATTCATATAAAACAACAACAAAACGGTTCGTCGACTTAGTACATAGATGAATATAAATAATAATTATGAGTTGTTTTGTCCCTAAGACATTTAGTTATTTCTATTTGTACCAACCATTTTGAAGAAAAAAAAATTAAAAATAAGATAAAAAATTTATATCCAATCAACTCTCCGGTTCATCTCTCTAACTATCTTATCAAACTAGACACTCAAAATGTGAGTCTGATACTAACTGACATGGTCGTACTTTTTCAATCATGCAACATCATGATCTTAACACACTCATGACCAACCTTAAAAGGAGAAGGCAAATACCATATATATTTTTCGCGTTGCTTTGTGGCTTTGTCAAATCTTAGATGGAATCTGTTAGGAATTAGAACTTTCCACAATTGTGTGATCTGTTAGGAATCAGAATTGACAAAGCTTAAATGGGATCTATTAGGAATCAGAACTTTCCACAATGGTATGGTATTGTCCACTTTGAGCATAAGCTCTCGTGGCTTTACTTTGGGCTTTCCAAAAGCCTCATACTACTGGAGATAGTATTCCTCACTTATAAACCCATGATCATTCCCTAAATTAGCCAATGTGTAACTCACTCCCAACAATTCTCAACAGGAGCTGTCTTCGCCAACCGAATATTACTTGTGTGGAATCTAAGGTTGTTCGATACATCACTTGTGCGTGCATGTTCAATCATCTGCGACACAAATAACTTATCTATACACTTGGCCAAGTCATTTGACTCGACTTTGCGTTGACCGTGTCTCTCAGTGTTACACTTGTTTAGACACTCAAGTTGAGTTAAAAAAAAGTATTGGGTTTCAATTAATTTGTAAGTCAACGAGAGAGATGACAAGAGGGTGGTGGTGGAAGTAGAATGCATACACAAAACGCGTTGTTCTCTCTATAAATGCTTCCCACTCAATGTGTGTTATCACAAACAGACACAGAAATGGCTGCATTGACCAAGAATCTCAACCCCCACTTCTCCCATGTCCATCCAAACCACCATCTCATTCACAACACAACCGACCAAACCAATTACATTTGCCACGCCTGCAAAACCACCGGTTTCGGCGACAGATTCCGATGCCACGTCTGCATCGCCGACATCCACGTGTACTGCGCTAATTGCCCCCACCAACTCTCCTCCTCCTTCCACAGCCACCCACTCTCTCTCATTCTCTCTAAACCCCAAACCCATCACCGAACGACGACCATCTGTGATATTTGCCGTGAATCCATCGACGGCGTGTCCTACCGGTGCAGCCACTGCGACTTTGATGTTCACCCACTTTGTACTCAGCTGCCGGAGAAGGTGCGCCACGTCATCGACGACTACCATAGCTTGAGGCTCCAGAAGTCGTCGTTTGGGAATTGTGGGGTTTGTGGAATTGATTGTTGTTCTTTGTGGGTGTACGGATGCGATGGTTGTAGAGTCAACATACATATCAAATGTCTTCGGAAGTCGTACGGTTCAAAGAAGAGCAGCGGGACACGTGGGATACAAAATGCTCCACCGCCGTCGACGGCGGAGAAGCCTCATTTTAATGGTGGATTTCCGCCTGGTTATGGAGGGAATTATTATTATGGGTATGGATTCCCTTGGGGTGTTCCGAATTCTTATTATGGGTATCCTGGATATCCATTTCCATACAATAATAATATCCCCAATTATCCGCCATATCACGGCGGAGGACATGGACATGGGCATGGATATGGACATGGGCATGGGCATGGGCATGGACATGGACATGAATCTTCATCGTCGTCGTCAAATTGGGGATCACTGTTTGGGAATACAATGTTTTCTCTCATTGGAAATATAGCTTCAGGTGCTATCAATGGTTTTCTTTTCGGATCCATTGGTTTTTAACAATTTATCACAATCGAGCTTACTTGTTCGTAAACTTTTAAAAAATCTAATGTATCTGGAAATATTTAATTTTATGTCTAGAAAGTCTACTGATATCATTAGATGGAACCAAATCCAATCAAGTCAGATAAATTTAAGGGAAATTGTTTGGATCAGCCTATCAACCTTCAACAAGACCATGACTCAATTCACGAGTTTGTCTTATTACATCAAAGTTTGGGTCAAACTTGAATTGGATTTTGACTAAATCCATTGGATAAGCCTATCGAATATTAATTCTTTTAATGATAAGTTCATGGGCTAGCTCGACCGGTGAATTCAAATATGATCGAATATGATTTAAAATGGTTGGTTCAATCTTTAAAATAGTGATTCATATCCAACCCAATGAGTAAATAATATTCGACTTGACATGTATAGAGTTTTAAAAATTAATTGGAGTTTTAAAAATTAATTGGCATATTAGATATTAAATTGAATTTTATGTTTAATAATCTAATTAAGCATAAAATATTAAAAAAAAGAAAAAAAGATGTTAATAGATTCTATAATTAGATGTTATCTATATATTAAATGAAATGAAGATTATACCAAAGTTTTAATAATAAATTAATATAAAGAACAAATTACCCAGATTAGAACTATAATTTGATATTAACGTAAGCGAAACAAAACTAAGTCAAAGTCTTTATTTAATCACAAGTTGGTAAATTAAAGTCAACTAAAGAACCCATGAATCATGCCTTTGCTAAGCAAATATTTTTTTCCAAAGTCCTATGAATTTATGATTAAACATATATATTTTTTAAAATTTAATATTAAAATGGTAACAATGATTATTGATTATTGATTATGTTCCTTAAAATATAAAATAAATACATAGATGTATCCATAATTAATTATCTTTAAAAAAAAACTAAATACACTCATTAATATATATATATATGTATACCTTAACCAATTTGATATGAACCAAGGTATGTGAGTCCTGCAATATTGGCTTCAAAATACTTTGAGTTGGGCTTCATTTATTTTTAGATGGTTACAAATTTACGATGGATGATAATCTTGAGTTATTGTATTTTTTAATGTATTTTAAGGCTTGTTTATGTAATAGCTAATTATGGTCATAAAGTATACATAGTGATTAATTATGATAAAGTATGAAAGCTGCAATTCTTGGAAAGTCCCCGAAGGTTAAGAGTTTTAGAAGCTATATATATTATATTGTAAGATAGCTTGGAAAATATAATAAAATAAGCATTTGAGTTTTCCATTAGTCAATGACTAAGTTTATTTGCAATTCAATATAATTTAGGCGGCATGCAAAATTATTTAAACTTACATAATCAATTTTGGTTGTGAGATGATTCAAATCTTAAATAAGTGTTTTGTTAATATATTTGATCAAGGTAATCTGAATTTTACTTTTCCTCCCAGTAATTTTCTTATCATTCGGGCTAACTTTAAATTGCATGTTTAAAATAAAAAATCGATACGAATCTAAAATAAATGTTTTTGTGTTGAGATATTCCATTAACAATGTTAGTCAAGGAAAAAGAGAAAAGGTAGAAATCATAAAATAATAATAATAATAGACGCATTATTGTAGCATTTAATGATCTTGTTTCTCCCCTTAGCAAATCCAACAACCAAAAAGATCATCAGAGAAAGATGGCTCCGGTGCCGAAGAACACCAAATTTCATTTCACACATCCAAACCACCCCTTGGTTTTTCTCTCCGACGATCAAGATTACTACTGCGACGGCTGCAAAACCTTCGGCTCCAACAGCCGATTCCGATGCCACGGCTGCGATTTCGACCTGCATGAATTCTGCGCCAATTGCCCAGAAAAGCTGTCCTTATTCATCCACCACCACCACCTCACTTTGGACGTTCTTAAACCCGAAGCTGCAGCCCCCGGCGGCAGGTTTTGCGACGTCTGCCTGGGCCCCATCAAGGGCCTCTACTACCGATGTAAAGATTGCAACTTTGACGCCCACCCACTGTGCACTCAACTCCCCGAAGAGCTTGACCATGTGATCGACAAAAACCATACTTTAAAGCTCCAAAAGCTGACCTTTGGAAACTGTGTTGTTTGCAGAACTGATTGTTCATCTCGTTGGGTGTACGGATGTGATATTTGTGGTGTCAATATCCATCTTGACTGCCTTTTGGAGCCGTACGACTCGCCGCCCGCTCACTCTACCGAGCCTCCAATTCCACCGCCGAGTGGGACTGCCTCACGTGGGATTTCGTTTGCACCGCCGCCGTGGCCAACTGGGCCACCCCAAGTTCCTTATGGTTTCGCCGTCCCTTATTTTAGCTATCCTGTTGGATTCAATTATGGATATGCGTACAATAATTATGGTTATTATCAAGCAAGTCAATATGGATATGAAGCGCCGCCGCCGCCGCCGCCGCCGCGTGAGAGAACGCTTACAAAATCAATGTTTTCTCTGGTGGGTAAACTGACCATGGGTGCAGTTACCAGTTCCATTTTTGGGATGCCTTTAAATTTTTAGTGATATTGGAGTTGGAATTGGAAGTATGAACAAGATCTCTGTCGTTTGCTTTGTCTTTTCTTTCCTTTGTGTTTCTTGTTTGAATGTATGAATAAATGTAAATTAAGAATGTTAATTAATGTATGAAATGAAAGACAGAAATTATTGGATTTTCTATGATTGAGCAACTGAAAAGGAAAGTACGTCTTATTGGTATAGATAGTAACTCCCAATTCTTTTAAGATATTTTTAGTCGTTTTGTTCTCGAGAACGCTCTAATTCCAATATGGTTTTCATTGCATTCATATACCCCTCGTTTACTCCGTTGTCACATCCATGGTATATAAGTGTCGACAATCATGTTTATTGATATGAAACATTTTGGTTAAAACAAAAAAAATAAAACCATGAGGTGAAGTTTTCATTATTATTATCAATTGCTACTAGAGTTGTAGCCAAAACCTAACGGCGCATCGGAGGAAACCCTTAAATTCCAAACAAAGAATGAATAATATCTTATCCCAATAAATATAGATAGATTTTTCTCATTATTTTTATCGTAAATCAAAAACTAAGAATTTCGGTATGGATTCACACAATAATTATTAATTCAACTTGAAGATGACTTTGTCTTCGCCCTCTCACCCAAGTTTCAACCAAAATCAGCTTCAACTTATTAATTTATTAGATTGAGTCGGTGTGACGTGTATAGATATCTCCAAGAGTTAGGAGAAACTTAGACAAAAAATTTGGTGCCATCACTCAAATTTGTCTTTTTTCCGCTTATGAAAAGTGACATGTTTTAACTATTGAAAACTATTAAACGAAGAGCTAATATATGATATGAGATCGTAACCATGTTTCGTCAAAGTTAAGTTAAGATTCATCGTTGTGTTCAGCTCAACAAGTAAAGGTCCAATATCGAGGGTCGTCAAAATTGAAGGTGCAAAAATATGAATTGAAGAAGAACCCGAACCCCGCCATGAGTACTTACATACAATATCTTATGAATTTCTGCACGTCTTAAACTTTAGCCTTGTTTTAATATGTTATGACATTATAATTTTTAAGGACTATATAGTTATATAATGACCAGGTCTAGGATAATATGGCACGACACGACAGCATGATTTACGTAGCAATAAATGTCTTTGTAATAAAGTCATATGAACAGTAATCAATTATTTAATTAATTCATAATATGTGCTACAAGATCAGACGTTCATGGGACCCATCTCCAAATTTATATATTTTCGATTTGTTCATTCTAAAATTCCATTTTAGATTTTATTAGTGTTTTCATTTTTTAATGCATTTTAGAGGAATATAATAAATTTGTGTAAAAACAATTAGAACATATTTCAAACCTCCACGCCACGATGATGTGAGATTCCACATCGATTGGAAAGGGAAACGAATCAATCCTTATAAGAATGTAGAAACCTCTCCGTAGAAGACGTATTTTAAAACTATGAGGCAGATGATGATACGTAAAAAAGTTAAAGCGAACAATATCTATTAGCAGTGAAATTGTGCTATTACAAATGATATCAGAGCTAGATATCAGACGGTGTGCCAGTGAGGACACTGGCCTCAAAATGGTAGATTGTGAGATCCCACCTCGGAGTGGAGATGGAAAGAAGTATTTCTTATAAAATGTGAAAACCTTTCTCTAGCAGACATATTTAAAAACTATGAGGCTAACAACGATACGTAACATGTCGGTTAATGTGAAAAGGACGACATTTCATTTTAATAAGACGTCACTCTCCATAGGTATTTAATTAAAAAGAAAAACTGTTTAAATGAATAATAAATTTAATTTATAGTAAGAACCTTCCTAAGTCTTGGTCTTTTTTTATTATATAAGAAATTGGTGATGGAAGACTTGTTCTCACCCCTACTTATAACCTCAGCAGGTTGTGCGCTCTCATTACAAAACCCTAATCCTACAATCTCTTGGGTGTGTGAGTCCCAAACATGAATTATCCATATGCTTCTTACAACTATGGATATCCTTACCCTCACCAAGGATATCCCAAGAACCAAGCTTGTCCTCCTTATGGATACAATTATCATGGGCATGTGTATCCATATCCTCCTTATGGTTATCCTTATCAAGGATATCCATATGCTGCAGCAACAACAGTTCCTCCTCCTGTATATCATGGACAAAAGCATGGGCGAAAGGCAGGGAGGATCTTGACGTCCATGCTTTCGTCTGTGATTGGGAGTATCGGTGCTTCTTTCATCTCTTCCCTTCTTTTTGGGGTTTAGTTCTTATGGTGTCTTGTTTTTTCTTTGGGTTTTTGTAGTGTGGAATATGTATTTGGAGAAAATAAATCACTCCCGTTGGGGATTGAAGTTTGTTTGGTTATGGAATAATAAGCTCTTTGGGTTATAAAAATATTTGTAACACTAATTTTTCACTAATGTTGCATCCATCAATTTCATTCACGAGTATATAAGATTTGAATCCTCGAACGAAGATGCTAACTCTCAATTCGATATTTTTCTAAAACTCCTTCTAGTTCGTGCTGCACCCGATAGACTTATCAAAATATTTCTTGATTTGACGGGTTGTTGGGTTGTTTTGGTGACTCAAAAGTAAGTCAAAGTCTATATGTTTCCACTCTCTCGTCAAAGATGTTCATTATTATGATTGTGATTGAATAAAATAATTGCCTTTTAAATTTTCCATTTTATAGATACATTAATAGTCTTGGAATCTAAAAAAATTATTATTATTATTTTTTTTTTTTTGTAAATTACTAGATTTCGAAAGAAAAGGAATGGTTAGTAAATAAGGTTAATTCTAAAAAGTTGATCTTAAAATTTGTGTTCGGGTTCTTAAAATTTTATTTTTAGATTCCAATTTTCATAAAATTTGAGCATTCTCAGTTCAAGCATAGTTTAATAGATAAGATATCAATTACCATTTTAAGAGTGGACAGTGATGGGATGGAATAATAAATAAATAAATTTCATAATTCTAACAAATTAATGAAGACTATAACACAATTCCTTGAAAGGGGATTAGAATTAATACCACACTTGGGGAACAATGAATTGAGATTTTAGAAAGACAAATGGGTAAGAGCGACTAAGAACTTAAAATGTTAAAAAAAGAAAACAACATAAATTATTACAAAACAATCTCAGAATTAATATGAAATGGCGTCCTAATAGAATGATCAAATCGATGTTTATTACAAATTCAAAGTGTCGTTGTCAAATTCATATGGATATTGATATCATATTTCACCATCCCAAAGCTCTTCAAGGCTTTTATAAGGGCTTTGAGTTTCATGGACTGCAAAATCCCCGCGAAGAAGACGTTGCTGCATAATACAATCCATGCAAAAATGAGATCAGTTTCTATGGCTTTTGAGCTGAATATCATTAATTACTTACCTGATGAATTTGGGAGAATTTTGAGAAGAGCTCAGGGGGAATGGACCAATCAAATAAGCTAAGGTTTTCAAGAATCCTCGATTCATTTACACTCTTTGGAAGAACACTGTGGCCACTTTGGATGCCCCATCGGAGGGCCACCTGCGCCGGTGACTTGTTGAGCTTCTCTGAAATTTCTATGAGAATTGGCTCCTTCAAGATTTCACCCTTCACCCAGCTCCCTGGAGATCCCAATGGAGAATATGCCTGCACCCATCATCCAATTTTCTATGTAAATTCATGTGTCTGTTGATTATTGATAGCTAATGGATTTAAAAAATGTACCGAAAGATGAACGCCGGTGGATTTGCAGAGGTTGTGAAGAGCAGGCTGCTGCCAAACTGGGTGGCATTCAACTTGGTTAACAGCCGGTGGAACTTTGGCAGTTTTGAGCAAATCTTGAAGCTTCTTTGTTGAGAAGTTGCTTACACCAATGGCTCTTGCTTGCCCAGATGCATACAACCCCTCCATCGCGTTCCACGTTTCCGCAATACACAACGGCGCCATGACCTCAGGAGCGAACCCTCTTGACCCAGGTTTCGTCCTGAATGGCCAATGTACCTGAAATAAACATGTCACTGTTCAGGATTGTTTATAAGTAAGGAATACTATTTTCATCGGTACAAGACCTTTTAGGAAAGCCAAAAACAAACAATATAACACTATCCTAAAGTAGAGGTTCATGATTCCTAACAGTCACATCAGACTTTCATAGGGAATAAGAAAAGCATACAAGATAGAGATCGATGTAATCAAGTTGAAGATTTTCTAAGCTTTTGCTCAATGCTTTGCAGACATCTTCAGGTGCTTGATCGCTGCACCTGTTGAGATCAACGCAAAATCACTACTAATTTTGATGTAATCATGATGGGGTTTTTTAGGACAAAACAAAAGTAAAGAAATTTGATGGGATACCAGAGTTTAGAAGTGATGAACATCTCACTTCGCTGGACTACGCCCGTTGAAAACAGTTCCTTAAACGCTGCTCCTACCTGCAACAGAGTTTATGAATTCCTTGTACAGAATTATGTTAAGAAGAAGGGGGAAAAGAAAACCTCTTTTTCGTTGTCGTAGACATGAGCACAATCAATATGCCTATAACCAGCCTGCACATAGAAACAGACAAACCCATCAATTTTTACTCTAAACTAAGTTTAATTTAGATAAGTAAGGATGCAGAGAAACCTTGACGGCGGTTTTGACAGCTTCTCCAACCTCGCCGGGAGGGGCTTTCCATGTTCCGAGGCCGACAGCCGGAATGGTTGATCCAGTGTTGAGATCAAAATGCGAGAGCTTGTCCATGTTTTTGGGGCTTCTGAATCTCCAACGTTGTTTATTCTGGAAGTTTGGTTGGAAAAAACAGAGAGAACAGAGAGAACAGAGAAAACGGAGGTGGGGTTACCTTGTTTGGTTTGGTTTTTGGTGAGACAGAAAGGGTATTATTAATGAATGGAGAAAATTGGGTTTTCTTTTTCTGGTCGTCTCTTCGTCTTCCATTGTCGGAGACTTTATATGGATTCCATTGTTTTCCCTTTGAGTGAGTTGCGCCCCAAAATGAGGATCTCTGTTCTCTCAAACACACGTTTATGTGCCAAGAACACCCTTCCTCATCCAAACCACTCTCTTCCTCGCGTTTAAAATACACTCATTTCGGTCATTTAATTACATCTTACGCTTAAACAATCGAATATTCAAATTTATGATCCCTTA